GAATAGCAGAGCCACATAAAAGTTGCAAAAAAATAGAACAGCACATTGCTTAAGAGGTTTTGTACAAGCCATAGCTTAACTGAACAACGAAAAAAACCCTCAATGGTTTTGTTGTGTATGAGATAGCAAAATAGCCAAAGTATTCAACAAAATGAACTGTCTACCACGATTTATCTGTACAATTCCATCACAGCTCTTGCCTGTTATGTTACACTTTTCAAAAGTATGTCATTAAGCTGCCATAAAAGTCATCACAAATTGCTTTTTCTCCCAAACTGATAATAGACTTATAGATCTAATTTTCAATCTCTTTTCTTCATTACTTTGATTCTTAAGTAGGGTATGACATTTCCTGTCTGAATACTTTGTAGTAATATCTGGCATCTCTACAACACTTCTGTCTGAGTACATCTGAGCTTTTAATAGCACCTTGAAATGATGACATATTTATTTCTCTGTCTTGCAGACTCTTAAATACACTTTTTTTTATAATTTCACTGAAAAACTACAAGCCTTGTTGAAAGAAAATGACACAACAAAGCCTTCTGTGCTGTCAGATGCTATGTCATTAAAATCCTGACCCTTCACAGTTCAACAAGAGCAAAGAGCAAATGTAAGGCCTCTGTTTTCCATTCCAATTTTTTTAACTTTGTGGACTGTCCTTTTCACAAATCAAGAGACTGACTGACAGAAACAACTAAGTAATTGAGAAAATACCCACAAATTAAAAATTAGATTTTGATTCTCATGGCGACCTCTCCTCATTTTTTGCCAGTCAACATATGCACGTTCATTTGGGCTTTGTACGCATCAAACTGAAATCAGTACTTGAAACTGGTTGTGCTAATGACCTCAGTGTATTTGTGAAAAAAGCTAGGAACAGGCTGGTTTAGAAAATTGCTTGCAGGGTTAATTAAAGTAACATATAGGAAGCGATCACAAGAGGAATGATGGAAAATCAGGGTGAAGAAGGAGAAACAGCAAAGAAAGAAGAGTTGAAAGACAGCTGAGAGAACAAACCACACATCAGACCAGGGAGAGGACTTCAAGAAACCTATGAATGGGTCACAGAGTCAAATTTTAGTCCTATCAGACAAGTTGTATTTCTGCTCAACACATCAAGAACAGCTACTTCCATCAAAATAACAGGCAGAATAGCCATAAATCATCTTCCTCTCCTCCAAAATCCAAGATTTCCAGAGCGCCCAAGAGATTTCCTCCCCAATGCTTGCATCTCTCATTTGCCCATGCTTCTCTGGATAGAATGATACTAGCTCCTGGATAGTCTGAATTAGATCTTTTAATTTCTTCCTTATAAAGCTACAGAGATCTTTTTTCCCCTATAATCCCTATGAATTGTGAAGAAAGCTCTTTCCAATTCCCTAAAACAACTCACCAAACCACTCCTATATCAGAGCTAAGTGAAGATGATAATTTTCACCCTCAGACACCAAAAGACTTGGAAGACTTTTGGCTTCTAAATGTAATGGCTTCTCCCCACCATAATGCCACAGACACAGAAAGCAAAGGTGATAACTGGCTTGATTGTCTTCCCTTATTAATGACAAGGGAGTTTTGATAACGAGTTCCTCTGGAATGGCCCAATCAACAAAACTATCCCCCACTTGCTCATCTACCAGGCATGCTGCAAAATAATACAAAAGGATAACGTGGTAGAGTTTTAAAGGCACACCTAACAGCTACTAAAACTAGTAATTTCAAAGTGGTATAGATCACAGGCTAGGTGATGAAATGGTGTATAGGAAGAAATATTTTTCATTTGGACAATTTTACATTTGCACTCTCGAGTAACTGTTCAGCCGATGCATCCTTACACACAGATCAAGAGAACTTAAAGTTTAGGTACACTTTTTTGATATACCATGTGTTTTAACCATCAGGGGAAAAAAAACCCAGAAAATTGCAAGGCTGTTATTAAACACTGACAATTAAATTATATGGATTTTTTGCTTACCTGGGTTTGTACTTACAATCCCAGAACATTAACTTTTTCAATGATGAACACAGTTTAATCTTAGAATTGTAGAATTCCTAGTATCAGATTGGGTAACCACATCTTCCTTAGCCAACAGAAGCAGGACATTTATTTTGTGTCCTTGGGCATGTATCAGTAAAAAAACAGATTCTTGTAAAGGATAATAAAAATGTCTCCCTTTTATTATCTCACACCCAAATTCTCAAATTAATATGCAGCAAGATCCACCACACAAGTAGCTTCTAATGACATAGATTCTCTTTCTAAGCACTTGACCAAATACTTAATCACCCTGTCCCAGACAAATAAAACACAGGTCTTACATAAGGTTTTTCAGCATTGATCTTCAAACAGTTCACAAAGTTGCCATGGTCCATCGCAGCTGACCCCAGAGACATGATACCTCACTCTGTTTTACCCAAAAGGTTAACGACAGAGCCAGAACTAGAGTTCGTTCTTCCTCAGCCCCAGATGTACCACATCCACCATGGCACAGTGCCTGACATGTCTTTGAGAATAACCCAAGTCCAAACTGACATTCAACAGTCACTCCTACCTAGACAAAGAAACCCCCAAACACTCTATACTGTCATAACACAGTCAACTGCCACAGCTCTTACGTGCTGTGTTTCGAGGTGAGCAAAGAGGTCTCCAGAGCACTTACGGAGGGTGTGCCTGTACTCTGTAGCAGCAGGACACTTCTCAGATTAATTAGTTCATGGGGAGCTTCCTCACTGCATTACTTCTGAGCAAGCTCATTTATCTTCATATTACATTATGCAGTGTGGATACACCCTCAGACAAATCAATTTCTCTAGCTAAGGGATACACGAGGCAAAAGAAGTTTAAGAAACATTATTATGAACAAATGCTCTCACAGTACGATCACTTATATTACCAATTGACTCCCAGGTTTAAATTCTTTGTATATCAGAATGGATTCAAATTAAAATGAGAAAAAATGCATTGTTCTACTCATGTCAGAAAGACAAATACATCCATAACAGCTTAGGTGAAGTTTGGTAAGGAGACATGCAAGACTGTTTTCTCCCCTAGCATAAGGGATGTGATTTTGCTGTTCTTCAGAAGAAAAATTGTCTGAATGACAGAGAAGCATAAAAATTTCAAAAATACATTTCCATTGGAAACTGGTTCAAATTTGGCAGTAAGTTTGCCACACACTTTGTGTACGCTGAGTGTTTGTATTTTATGTACCTTCTTAGAGCCTGACTGAGAACTCTCAATTCCCAAGACCCCATTCTTGATTCGCTCTGTCTCTCTGCTGTCAGCAGCTGTCTGTAAAAGTCACTACAAGGTATGCATTTTTACATTCCTCCAACATCAGAGTGGCACAGAAGAATCTGAGGTTCAAGCTTACCTTGTCAGTGATTTATACAATTACTTACACAAGCCTCACATAATAGAAAGCATCTATTTTGCCGCTGGTATAAAACACACACACCCTCACCACCCCAGAAGAACGTTACCATAAAAAAGTACATTCTAATGGTCAAGAAACCAGAGCACCTCTCTCCCTCCCACACAGAAATGTTGCATTATGTTGCTTTCAACTAACCAATCATACTGTAGTTTTTTTCCATAGGAGCTTTTCCAGGTTTTAAGGATAGTACAGACAGTGCTAACACGGAATGAGCACTCACTCCATACTTCTCTTAATCCTCACTGTTCACTACATGGCATCTTTGTACAATTTACAGTATCTACATCTAGAATCATAACTAAAAACATTCTCATTTTTCTGTTGATCACTATTATGTACCTGAATTATTTCCTTATAGGAACTACTCCACAGCACCTCCATCAGACAGTTTTATGATCCTTGTTTCAAGGTAGCAAACTAAGAGACAGTGATATGCCTCAGGATTGCCCATAATTAGAGATGGTTGACTTGAAATACTTTGGGTCTCTCTTCAGAGGATAGAGCAATTAAACAGCACTTTGTCAGTACAAAGTACAACTTCAATCTATTTCATGTGTTTTCAAAGCTGACATTAATCGGTCCCAAGAGTCTGAACTCAGAAAATGAGAAGTTCACAACTAATGGCCATATTTAAAACACATGGTTGAAGTGACTCACTCAACCTCACACAGGAGTTCTATAGCTGAATTAAGATTTTTCTTTAATCCTTCAGAATGGCATCCCAACAGCCATGGCTTTAAAACCCAGTCTCAGTGTTAATTCTCTCCCTTCCTCACCTACTAGGTCTCATCCACCTTCACTAGTTATGAGGAAGCAGATCTAAAGGAAACAACCCCATTAATTAGCACAGCTGGATTAATTTCTCAAATGCCATTTACCTGGCCTTCCTGAAAATAGCCAGTGCTTTGTGGATAAAGAAAGAGTCTGAAATTACATCAGCATATACCATTTTAAGGCAGAAATTTAACAAGACCAAACTGAGGTTACACCAACAACTTCAATTCCAACATTTCCTACCTATTGAGAATTTTGCATTGCATCACTGTCTGAGAACTCCACATTCCCTGAATTTTCACTTCATGCAGTCTCAAATAAAATATAAGATTTAAATCAATGTTTGTATCTCCATCTCGCTACAGTTGCGGCTTCGAGCGTGAATTCCTACTACAGGGTCTCTTAATACCATCCAAACAATCTCTGCAAGGGCAGATCTTCAACAAAAACCTAATGGTCTATGAGATAACCAGTACACAGTACAGGAACATTATACGGTTAGGAATTACAGTGCAGGAACAAGCAGACATCTCCTAACGTTAATTTCTATCAGAAACCTTTCTATCATCTCAGAAAACTGAGCTGCTTTCAGTTTGACCAATGCCAGTAGATAACATCACTATTTCCCGTTTGACACCAACACAATAACCAGCTTTAATTCTAGGATTTTTTACCAACCACAACAGCATCACATTGCAGTCTGTGCTTTGCCACGTGAGCTCATCGGAAATAAATAATTGTTCAAACTTCTTTTCAAAAAAAGCATTCAAAGACAAAATGAAAACTCACCTCATTTCCACCAACAGCTTTGGTTAAAATTACAGCAGAAGACACAGGAGGTGGCATGCAGCCTACTGTCTGCAAGCTGAAAACAACAAAAAGAATGTTACAGTCCTTACACAGCACAAACACTAAGCAACATAAAACCTTAAAATACCAAATAGCTGAGTAGAAAGTCTTATCACCAGCACAAGGCAACCAGTTTGTAGTCAGCTCAGTCCTGCACTAGCTGGTAGGACTTCTACAGAGGATTTTCTCTTACCAACCAGCAGTGAAGAGTCATGTCACCATTTAAAAAAGCACAAATGCTTAATATCTCTGTGACTCCATTTCCCCAATTAAGTACTGTATCTACCATTCACAGAGATCTCTATACATCTATCACAGACAACTGCATTCTTGTTCTGATGTAGTAAAGTTGGTAATGTGTTAGCTATTTGGAAAAAAAAAAATTAGAAATAAGGATGTAAACTCCTATTTTCTTGAAAAGTTGTTCAGTGATAAAAACATTTACTGCAAAGTAGAAGAACCAGGTAACCAGGCTTGCTATTTCAGGTTCTCTCTACACTTTTTTTTATCAATCCCTTTAAAAAAAAAAAAAAATCACAATTAAGCTCTCTATACCTGAACATTAAAAGGCCATCAAATGTTTAATTTTATGCACTTGAAAAAATCACCTGACTGCCATCAAAACATCACCACATTTCTCCTGCAGTTTAGAAATCTAAGATTTACTACTATTATTGTCACTTTTTTGCATTGTTTGTGCAGCAAAGTTATTGATGTAGATAGCAAATGGTTTTACAAAGTAAGAAAAAGAGTGGTGAGCTTTCCTTTGTTTTCAAAGACAGTCCACAAAAACTGGTTATTACAAAAATTAGCTCTATCAAGTGTATTTAGAGACAAGAACATCCCACAATAGATTGCAATTAATTTGGGGGGAAAAGTAAAATAGGGCTTCTGAAGAAAAACTGTTGACTTAAAAGGAACAGTAAAGCATGGAATAAGACACTTTGCAAAAGCCCCAAGAGCATGGAACCTACGTATGGTTTCAAGTATTGGAGTTTGAAATGGTATTCCAGTTCAGAACAATGAATTACTGGTGGTGAACTACTCTGCACTTGTAGCCATGTCACTCCATTCCCGAGAAACAGAGTGTCGAAAAGCTGTAGCAAACAGAAGTATTAATCCAGGCAACAGGGAGTATATTACAGTGCAATTGATACTCTGCAAATATACAAAAAGCTTAAAGAGAAGAAACAAGTAAGTGACACTGACGGTATTCAGTTTGTCAGCTACAGACACTGTGGAAAAGGAAAGAGGTAACCAGTGTAAACATTATATAAATCCAATCACAAAGTGCCAAGCATCACCTTGGAAGTATATAATACCTTCAGTTTACAGTGAAATAAGCTATGGCAGCAGAGAGTTGTCAGCACTTAGCAGAATAAGCTCATGTTGAAAAGAAAAGAAATACAGGCAAAAGAAATGGTGTGGAAGAATTTGGAAACATGTATGAAAATATACAGCAGACAAACACATGGCAACTGCCATCCATCCCCTACACTGGTTGTGATAGTTATCTCTCTTCTGTGAGGCAGCCAGCTCCTTGAACTTCTCACCTGCACTAGTAAGGGGTGGATTAAGCTCAAAGTTATCCAGAGAGGTACAAAATGTGTGCAAGGGCATTCATCTCAGCTGGCAGGGATTTTCCACACTACAAGGGAAAGATTTAATAATGCAATCTCTGTTAACCCTCTCAAATTTAAAATAACACTTTTGGAATTAAAAATAAAAATCAGTATCAAGCAATGGTTTAAATACTCTTCATATAAAAATATTAATCAAAAAAAACCTGGTACACACTAAATGGAAATACTTTAAAACATGCACCTGTGAATTTTTTCTTGATTTGCATCAACTGCACACAATACTACCAATATATAAAGAGATTCCTCCAATGGCCAACTACAGATTAGTACAGATAAAAACCAACCAACTGCAATATTCCACTGGTTCAGGCCATGCTATAAGTACTAACATCAGGGGTCCAAACGCTGTTCTGCTGATAACACTACAGACAACTGAGCAGTAGGGTCTGAAGTCACACATTGTAGATGTGGAAGCTTCAAATCCATATCTTATACCCAGTCTTTGCATCTCGTGCCTAACTACTTGTACTGCAAATGCTATATGCTAAAAGTGGTAGAAGAGGTGCAAACATTAATAACTGCTTCATGCTCCTTTTCAAAGGGATGCTGTCAATGCAAAATCTAGTCAGCTAACCAAAAAATTAACTTGGGATGATGCTTGGGATCATCCTCAGTTTCTCCTCGAATTTATGTATTTCCAATAATTATAAAGCAACAAACCTCCTAATATCATCCCAGATGGGGGAGGGGGTAAAAAAAATCCCTGAGCTGTAGAAACACAGATGAAAAAGTGGTACCATCTGAATCTGCCTCTCAAATAACACAGCAAAACAGATCATCACAGAGCATGGGAGAATCCAGCATACATTCTGAAGCAAGATGGGAAAAGTACTGTGGGCTGTGCCCTGCAGGTATAACCTTGTACAGAGAGTAGTGGAGAACTCCAGTCCCCAAGGGAGCCACCCTGCCAAAGGGTGCTCCATGCCCTTGGGAGCATATGCCTATTTTTCCAGGCCTTTGTGACAGCTATCAACCAACTTCCACTACAAGCTGTGCTAAACATGTGATAACTTTGCCAAAACCTGTCTTGTTCCATTCCTGTTTTCATCAGTGTTTCCAAGGGAATAAAAATTACAAATGTGGGGCATTAGGATGAACTTTTGGTTACACAGAGTGGCCATAGCACAAGCAGTTCCTCAAATCTGCTCCTCACACTTATACAGGGACCTGCTTTAAAATGTTTTTCTAGAGTTAGGACAGAGCTCAGTATCTTCTGCACCTGCATCACACTGAAGGTGCAGCTCCCATCAGGCTCCCTTTGCAGTGCCTGCTGCTCTAAGCGTGTCCTGAACAACAATATTTATCAAGAAAGTAGTCTTAAAACATTAAAAAAACCCCAACCAAGCTACCTTCACTAAACTCCTCAGCGTGACCATTCTTTGAATGAAGCCACAATACAACAGAGTTAATGCACTAAAAGATAAAACACAGCCAAATCAGAAATAGTACTCAAGGAACAAGTGCTTGAAAGGTAGCTTGAAACATGCAGAGGTATACCAGCTCACTGGTAAGACACAGACACACCTTCATGAAAAATGAGGATGGTTTTGGCTCCACATTTAGGGAGATAAACACAAAATTTGGGGGGTTTTTGTTTTGGTTTTTTTTTTCTTTTTTACAAAATTACATACAATGTCTAGTTCTACACACAGTTTCACAGGTGTGTATGTATATATATATACAGCTGTATTTGTGCACGTAACAGATCACGTCCCTTAAATACTAAGAACACAAGTGGCATAAGAGTCATCAGACAGGAGGGATAAGAATTGCTTCAAGGAACCAAAAACCCCACAAAAACCTCTTTCACCTTGCACTTTAGCAACTGAAACTCCCCTGGATTTTTAGCAACTGAGGAAAATCATGTCTCTGTTCTAGCTGAGAAAAAATTTCACAACTGTTTTACTTTAAAGAATACCCTTTACTGCAAATAGCTAAATGCAAAGGAATATTGTACAGCAATCTTGTTATATCCTTGATTTACTAAGACTGTTAAGCAAAACAGTGTCAACTTTTAAATGATGTCATCTCAATTTCACCTTCTCACTATCACTGGGACCACTTCACACTTGGTGGAACACCTGGAGAAGCCACTTAAAACAAAACAAAATGCTCTTTCAGGTTTAGGCCTTGTAAAAACAAACATGAGCAGCTTTTTCATTAAACTTTTAAGACAAGGAACTCCCCAAGCAATGTTTCACCAAGCAGTAAGAAACAATGGGTAGTTTTCTAAAATAATTGATTTTTACTTTCCAGTATAGCTGCATGGTGCTAAGTATTGACCTTCCATTCTAAAAAAAAAAAAAAAAGCCACCTTTTTATTTTTTTGATTTTACATAAAATCTATCACAAGTACACCATCAATGCAGCTGTGGAAGCACACATTGGCAGAGTATACCTAGCATTTAAAATTCACTCTTTTCATAGTAACTAACTTAGTTTCTGCTCATCTCAAGGTTCTTCTCCTACAAAAACTTTACTTTTCCTCCCCCCCCATATTTAGCTAGGAGCAGATACTAGAGACATGCAAGAAATGCTCAATACAGACTATTTAAAAACAGAAGAACAGTATGTGGCATACACAATACCTGTTCACTGACTTCTGTTTTTCCTTCACCATTCCTTTTCTTCCCTCCACATCACTCTTAAGACCCATCACTTCAGCTGTGCTTCATGACAGAGAAAGCCAACCTGTTGCAAGCTCTCCCTACATATGAGACTAACTGATCAGACTTTCTAAAAACAAGACCAAGTTCCTGAAAGGATAATCTTGTGCACATACTTTGTTTTAGACAGCAAAGTGCTGAAGCATAAAATGAACCAGCAAAACCTGTTTAAAATACAACAAAACATCCATTGCAGGATAAGCAGCCCTTTAAGACGACAGCTACAAACATATTTCACTCCATTATGCTTAAACATACCCTTTTAAAAGCCATTCATTTATGGGTGTGATTGATAATAGCTGAAGAAAGACCCATATTGCTGTTGGGAAGAACACAAGTGTAAAAATCTGGACAAAAAGGTGTAGTTTCACATGCATCAAAGCACTTGTCAGCTCCTGCAAAAGAAAAAGAAGAGAGGAAGTTGCAGTCATAACAGCTGAAGTAAGATCACGTTTGTGCTTTTAAAACTAGGATCACCTTTATAATACAAAGAGAGTGCATGTCAAAAAGGCACCTTTAGGGATCATCTGATCTTCCTCTTTAATAATGAAGTACATCCAGACAACATAAAAGCTCTATCTGCTCCTGGGCATTTTTCCAAAAGAATTGTCCACCACTTCAATAATAGTGTAGCTCTCACAACAGCAGCTTTTCAGCAGGCAGCCTTAGCACTTTGTCACTGCTTCAAAACCTGTGTTAACTACACTGGCAGCTGTTTACTTAACTGACTGCTGATATCAAGAGGCATGAAAACTTGTAGTGCACACATGATTTCAGGTTCTTCTAGTCTAAACAGGGCCACAAACTGTGATTCTCATTTATACTGTAAAAAAAAAATAATTAAAAAAAAAAGAGATGTTTATGTTACCAAGCATTCACTTGTGGTGGGTTTTTTTAAGAAAGAATAACAAACATAAAAAGAAAAGTATTTGGTTGCAAACTCATTATTTATTGTATCAACAGGTAGGAAATTTACTGGAAAAAAAAAAATCAGGCTGACGACAAACAGCAAAGAAAGAACACCAAGACCATAACACACTAACAACAGCTAAGCCATAAATTTCAGAGAAATAAAGTGCAAAACACCACTGGAGACTCAGAAAACAACAAAGAAAAATTTAATTTTAAATAGTGTAAGAGTACAGAGGTTTTTGAGTACGAGGAAAGAGCCTTGCACATTCCAGCTCATTTCAACTCTCACAGACTGAGAATAAAATTTCCTTTTCCTCTCTCTCTCAAAGTAATTCGCACTCTTTTCAAGCAAACAACGCAAAAGAACTGATGGCACTTTTATTCAAAACCTAATTTGCTAGGATTCTCCAGCTATCTGACACTCCAGATGCATTAGATATATATAATGTATGTTTTAAAAAGTGTAGTTTCATACACAGTAAGGCAGCAACCAATCTTCAAATGCCACCCTGTCTCAGCTTCAAAACAGTTGAACTTTCATGAAACACAATAAAATACTGCATTTTTGACCATCCAAATACCCACAGATGTTAACTATACATCTGGAAGTACAAACAATTCAGCACTGTGTCCTTGTTACTTTACTTTTCATAATAAAATTAAGTCCCAAATTCGGATTGGGGGGAAAAAAAAAAAAAAGAAAAAGAAAATATACATCCATACATATCCTATTCTTGAGGTTATACAAAACATGGAACTGAAACATACATCTTGACCAAATTTTACTTAGAAAGTATTGTTACATTCAGTGTTTGGTTAACTGAACAAAACAGCATTTTTTTTTAAGCAGGTAGTAACACTGCACAAAAAAATAGGCCTTCTTCACACACAGCCTGTCACAGCACCTGTGGTGTTTTGAACAGCTTCACTGTAGTACTGTTTCATTTTATCTCAATAAGAAAGCAAAAATGAAACATCTACAGGTATAAACACATTCTGTACGGGAACAAAAGACACCTGGAAATACCTATATAAAAGTGGTCATTTTAGAAGTAAACAACACAGTTGGAAGAAAACAAAGTAAGTGACTTCTTCCAGCAAAGTTGACAAGTCGCCTCCAGTCCTGGATTTTGTAGTGGATTGGGGGTACCCATGAAGGTACCCCCAGTCCAGGTACCATCACAAATACAGAAGTGCTCTTTTAATTTCCTATTTCTACTATTGGAAGATGCCTTAAAAACAGATGGTTTTAAGAAGATTCTGTGATACTTCCAAAAGTAAAATCCAAACCAAAAACTTGGGAAAGCCTCACTGGAACTTCCAGGGAGCAAGGAAGGTGATACAACACTACCAACCCACTGCATGAAGGAATGCTGTATTAGTGGAACAGGTCCTTGCAGATCCAAATTAACAGTCTATAAAATGTCTCTAGTGATTACCTTTGAGGATATAGTTATTCAAAATAGTTATTATTTTAATAGTATACCTTAGACTGTATGATCACAGAACAAATGCTGAGGCAAACAGCCTTCTTCCTCTTAAGCAATCCACAAGGGCTCTCAAAAAAGCAGAAGTCTCAAAGACGTTACTTGAAGCTGTTAGTTATGACTCCGTTTCTTCACACCAGATAGAACAGGTTACCTGGTCTTCCCCTGTATTTCAGACCCTCTGGGGAGTTTATCCTATCCCCTGACTGCTCAGTGTGGGTCCATACTGCCCTCCAGCCATGCTTAGGATGGTCATAGCTAGACTGCTCTGAGCAAATACCCACACAGAGCAAACAGTGTTTTCAGTGGCTTGCCAAATTCCTCATTGAAATGGATAACTCAAGTATGTGACTTAATTTCTGGGGCCCTATGGGAGGTATCTGCTTTAAAAGAGCAAGCTATCCAGTCCCTGAAAACTCAAATAGCCTTATATTAAGGTGGAATCAAATGTTCTTGTCATTCCTAAACACAGACTATTTCCTCGAGTGTAAGAGGACCTCAGTCACCTCTAGTTCTGAAAACATAACAAGGCCATGCACAGACAGGCTCTACTTGAATGTTGGAAATTATTTTGTAAAATGCTTTCTGAACACATTAGCAAACTTTTTGAGCACACACTTTCACAGCAGATAACACCAGAAGTGTAACCTTAAAAGAGCATCAGTTATTTCTCATTTTGTCAGATTTATCAGAAGGTCTCTGTTCACACTTCTACAACTCTTTATCCTTTTGTAAAGCATATCAAACACTTGTTTCCATCTAACTAATACATTATCCAGAGTTGAACAGCCAGCACAAGATCAAGAATAAATAAAGACAAAGGCAGAAACTATTTAATTTGCAATCCAGTAAAAAAGTGTATTAACTGACTAATAATACCAACTTTAAGTTGTGCCTTAAACAATTAAAACATGCCCCAAAAGTATTTTAATAAGATCATGACTTGGTCTGCTAACACATTTAAGGATTGGTTTTAACATACACTTCAGGAAGTAACAGCACAAGGTACTGTGAAATGAGTGAAATGGTTCTCTTCCTCTCTATCTTCTACCCCCACAGCAGAAATTGAGGAAAGGCTTAGCTTTTTCCTGAAACATAAAGCTGGATATACAGCACCAGCCCTAACTGCTGCTCTCAAAAGAATCTGAGATCTGGACCTGGTCACAAACATCCACTCCTGTAAAAGCTTCATTTACATCAATATATTGCTTTTAGTACCACAGATGAAAAGAAGTTATGCAAGTTCAAAGTAGGACACGACATATTGCCCAGGAAACTGTCAGTCATGTCCCCTTAACTGGAAAAAGTTAGAGGTACACTAGTATTAAGAATCTAATCAAGACTTTGATAATGCTATTGATTTCTCTCACAGCTGCTTTACAAATACAAAGTTTCAAGGACACAAACTAGTGAAAGGGAAAGAAATGTTACTTTTTTTTCCCCCATGCACAGATTCCTAAATCTGAAAGTAGAAAACTCCACTCATTAATTCTAGTCAGGTTTGTATTTCAGGTCCTCTTCTCTGGGGAAGAAAGTGCCTCTCCACAGTCTATTTCCTTTAGGATTAATTACCATCCCAGGCAAATAGATAACATGGTTCTTCCTGCATCCCCATAGGACCACAAGGCTCTGAATAACTGCTGCAGAATTGACTAAAGTTACTCATTTCACTAACACTGTGTCCCAGCACAGCTAGAGGTCCTAGTGCCAGAACTGCCAGCAGAGTGCGGAGGAGAGGGCAGCCATCAATTCAAACACCACTATAACCACAGTACAGGTTTAGAAACATCTTTGTTGAGTGCTCACTGCTCACCCAAATCCCATTTCACCAGGAGATAACTGGACAACATTGTGATGATCCTTTCAGGCACTAGTATCATGCAACATATGAGTAACATCACCTGTTAGCACAGCCAACAGCATAAAAGGAATCAAAACACTAGACTAGCAGAGACATGCAGTGTTTCACTTCAGCTCTGGCTGCTCCTTCTCTTCTTGGCACATAGCCATCATTTCCTTTCTCCATGCCTCCTTTATACAGCACTAAGAGGTCCTCCCCTTCGTCTCTTCTGACTCACAGGTTGTTCCTCTTTGAAAAAGCACGTGACACAAAATTTTAAATAAATCTCAGTGCCTGTGATATGTAGCAGAGCATAGGTACTTCAAATCCTCCTGTCCACAACTAAATCCTATAGGAAAAGATTGCCAAGACTTTGTTCCTGTGTATTGGTGTTGCACCTGCAGAGGAACCCTTTTGTGCTGGTCCTGGCTGCTGTCCTGTCCCTACAAAATGTGGAAACTTAAAGCCACCAGGTCTTTGCTTCTATCAATCCAGTAGTGACCAGCTTAAACAGTTTTACCTGGACAACACACCAGCAGGTGAGCTGAGGTACAGTGAGCTCACACTTTCCCTTCGTGTCCTAGAGAGGCAAGGAGAGTTCACATAGTCCCTCTCTACCTGCTGCCCTACCAAATTCTCCCCTAGGACTCAAAAGCTTTCTGGCCTGTTTCTCAGCTTAGAAGTAGGGAAGCCAAAGTGCAGAAGGGTTGGCAGAAAGCAGGTGCTAGTGTACTTCTGGACCTCACCCTAATTTGGGTTTGGGACACATCCAAGGTGTAGATCCAGTCTCAAAAGTTTGCTCATCACTTCCATTTAGGTAAAGCCCTGCCAAATCAAACAACCCCCTCCTCTATGGATACGTGAAATTTATTCACGCTTTCCTTCTCACCATCTTCATTACTTTGTGAAGAACTTTCTGAAATCAAGGAGAGTTATTCCGTAAATTTCTAAAATTTATCTTCTCTTATTAGCCATCCCCCTAGCACCACCACCAACAGCACAGTCATTCAATATTCCAATTACATTCAAACCTGATCAAAAGGAACATAAAACTTTTTAAAGCATAACAAGAATGAAGCAATGAGAAATTACAGTACCTCAGTTTTTAAGGAGAGTCCACTGTTAAAGAATATAGCTGAAACGGCAATGTAAGTTATGGTAATTTCTGGTTTCAAGGGTCCTAAAAAATATAGACATAGAGAACAAAGTGAATTATAGTCAAAGATAATGATATGCTTATACTGTATCAAAGTAAATGAGAATACTTAGAAAAATATATGGAGAAAATATAACCATTAAAGTCTCTAATAAAAAGAATGGGGTTTCTATTAAGTTAAAGAAAGCATGCTGTTCATTTTTAAATAAAAGCAAACCAGTGAGGGGAGAGTGAGTGATGATTCATAAAAATTTGGCTACTGTGATTAGAGGTCATAGAGATCTAACACATAAATTCTGGAAATTTGAAAATGGAGTTTTTCACAGCTCTGTCATCAGAGTATCTGCGTCTGCAAACACAAACCATACACTCGAATAAAAATATTAGCTGCTACCTGCACAAGGCCATTGATATCATTCACATATCTACCTCTCACTTCTTGCCCTACAACACACACACCTGTCTGGCTGCCTGCACAGAGGAAACCAAACCATATGTTGCAATGATTTCCTCGGGGCAATACAGTTCTGCACTATTCCCTAACAACAGGGCTGTGGCAAAATGGATCACGTCAGCCCTACAATAAAACATTTCAGACACTGCTGCAGTGAGATCAGCAAGGGCAGATGCCTGCACCTCCAAGGGTTCCACTATATTAAAGGCTTACATTTGTATATATTTATATAATTTTTTCAGGGACATTAAAATAAAATATTTTTTACAATCCTATAAAAATGATGAATTCTCTTAATACGCTTTGCCTTCGGAGCCCATCGAAATGTATATACTTGGTTTTTCATGAGCATTCAACCAGATGCTATATTAGAAAGGAAATATTTGCAGTCTACTTAGAACTAAAGTAATATCCTAACTCTACAAGTGACCAGAAGGTGTCATGAGCAAAACTGCAGGAGCAAACAAGCAACCCTTTACTCGACACTCCAGAAGAGAAGAACCTTTCTGCTTTCTCGGATGAATGATACATTGATGGTCACACTGGAGTCAGGTCAATGATCCTTAAACTAGGGGAATTTGATTGTACAAATCAAATTTGCATCCCAAGTCATTTAAACCTAAAGCCTACTCTCAGTGAGAACTCTGCTGATGAGACATTGAAGTCATATGTGTCAAATACAAAAAAAACAAAAAATTACCCAAACAACATATATGAAGTGTAAGGAAAAAATCACAACAGGAAATGCAGGAGTTAAAGTTGCAACCAAGCACGTGGCTAATTGCAAAATTATGGCATGTCACCTGAATAGATGTAGGGGGAAAAAAACAGAAAGATTGCATAAGTATATCTAGCTATACAGAAAACTGTATTTTATATACACAATTCCATGTTTTTTCTAATCTTATTGAAGATTAGAGCATATATGAACATGCACATACACACTAGGCAGACAGGCAGTAGGTTAGTCTGGCTAAATTAGGGGTTCTTCCAGGACTCAGGTTTTTTTTTTAGGGTTTTTCACTGGGCTACCTGAACTCCTTTCATAGGAGAAACCTCTATCACTTGAGCAGTCACACACTCATGGAGCACAGGGAACTCTGGTCACAACAGATCCCCTTCATCTCTGGTCATTTCCTGGTCAGAAAAGTTCTTTTAACAAAGGAACTAAATGGGCTCATTTATCAAATAAGAAAGCACACAAAAAGGGCTTGGCTTATGTCCTGAAGGTGACAACAACACAAATCTTTGTTATTTATGGCACAGTGTTCCGCTGGCAGGAATGCTGGGCCATCCATACCATTCAGTAAGGTCCTGCAAATTACAGTGCATGGTTATGTCAGCTGGAAGAAGACAAACTAAGGTTTCTTCATACATGGATATTTCCCATCCCCCACCTCTTCCTGGTTTTAAAAAGAAATATTTTTTTTTCCTCAGAACACTGGGATCACACAGCTCCAGAAGAGGTATAACCACTTTGGGGAACATGTGCTCACTAATTTCAATCAACGCTCACAAGATTTTTAAAGCAAGCTGTCCCAGGAACAATACCATGTCAAAGCCTGACACGTCTTTGCAGTAGGATAATTAAATGAAGTGCTCCATCATAGTGCTTCCATGCAGGAAGTTAGCTGAGGAAAAATTATTTCCTATTCTAGTTAAAAAGGACCTCCCACACTGCTGTTAACAATCAGCATGACAGTCAAACCAGAAACGGATAAAACACTTCTTATCAATTTAAAGTTGTCTTTAAGGTCTGCTGAAAACAAAGCATGGATCCTGCAAGATCCCCACGTGGGTCCTATTCATCTATGCAAAACAGCACACACATGTTAGAAGGAATCCCTGCACAGCAGGAATTTGCCTACCCTGAACTCCATGAAGTACCGGAGCCTTAGTTGACACAGCAAGTGTTCAGAGCCATATTTTTTTAAGTCAACTTTCTTTTTTTCCCAGAAGGTAAGAGAGGGAAAAAAGGCTGGCTCCTCAGTAAGAAGCTGTCTATCCTCAAACTTCTGCTCTGTTAAGGAAAAAAAAAAATATCTATGCATATAAAAGCCCAGCTAGATTCTTCCTCCCCTCACATAACATAGAATTACCTAAGGAATTCTGTTCAAGTGTTCTACATTCCTTTTCTTAAATCTTCAGAGAACAATTAGGGG